ACCACCACCTTCTTCGTCTTTGTTGGTTGAACCATGCATCTCATCCATCAGCTCACCTTCATTACCTTACCACTAATCCATCCGTCATCATTGCACAACTGCTCCATAGCATCATGTTTGTTTAGAGTCAATCTCAACCATTACCACTACCGTCTGAACCCACATCAAAGCTTCGAACCTCATTGCTACCATACAACGCAGTTGTCAAGACCTAAGTCACTGAATCGTGGAGCGAGTGCACAAGCAGGAGAGTGAGGGCACCTTTTCCAAAAATATTCTGAGAGCGGGAGCACCTCCAAAGTGTTTATGTAAATATATAGAAATGTATATTTATATATAATGTTATACTATCAAGTATTTAGTAATTTTTTAGGAATTAATTTACCTATAAAAGTGACTAATAACCAAGATTCAAATACAATTTGTATATGTTATTATTAGAAAAAATAAAAAAGTGCACAAGATAATTATATAAGTGTTGATTCGGCTTAGTGGTAAACCTTTTTACCTTCTACCGCTGGTCACGTGTTCAAAACTTAGCAGGAGTGACAACAAGCACCCTATTGCATTCACTCTTTTTCAGTTTCCTTACAGTAAACCTTACACGTGGCATCTAAAGATTGGTGTAAACTGGATCTGTTTGTGAGTTCACCGATTTGACACAATAAATTCGTGAATTTTGACCTGTTTTTCCTCCCCAGTTTGTTGATCCACAATTTTGAGCATGATTTGGCACCTTCCCCCAATGGATTAGTTGACTTAGTTTAACACCCTTGCCCATCATTGCAAACCTGGGTGTAATACAAATTGATTGAGAGTTGTTTTCATCTTTCTGTTAGAATATTTCCTTATTTCTTTATTTAGATTAGATTGTGATTGATTGATTGGAATTCATTAATTAGTCAATCAATCAATATAAATGTGATTCCTTAATCAGTGCCTTAAGGCTTCCTTTTGTAACAGTTGATTGATTAATGTAGAAGGGGATGATATCATAATTATCACTCAAGCTTAGTATTCTCTTAAATTACATGGTATCAGAGCCAAAACCCTACAAACCGTCACCTACACAGCCGTTGCCACCAATCACCCATCCTCTGCCACTAGTCCCTGAGTCTCTGTTGGAATCAGTTAAGGTCCCACAGAGCTGTTTCGGCTTTAGCTAAAGGCTCCTTTGGCCTAGTTGACCCTTGTGAGGGCTGTTCTAGCCTCTCTTTGTGTATTTTGGCTCCTGTGGATGAGTGCTTGAGGGTTGCCCATCTTCTATTGCCCCAAGTTTCTTTCCCTCTACTTTCTTGAACACAGTTCAGCACTTGTTTTGATTGAAGGTTTGTTTTCCCGTATTTGATTTATTTTTTGTGTCCATAGATGACCCATTAATCTGATTGTTATGCTCCTATAGTAGTTTGTAAGCAATTTTGCTTGTTCCAACTCATTCCATTTCTCTTTTCATTTTTGTGATTCATGTAAGGTTTTTTGGGTTGAAATTGTAGAGTTCTTATGGCTGACCTAACTAGTGAATCCACCACTACTTCTCACCTATCTAAAGGGGAGAGCTCCAGTCCAGTTATGACTACTACATCTGAGAACCTGAACCCTAGCCTCAAAATTACCACCGCCGTATTTAATGGTCAGAATTACCTTTCATGGTCTCAGTGTCTGACACTTTTTCTGAAGAGTAGGGGGAAGATGAGATATGTTAATGGGAGAGTTCAAGCACTAGGTATTACGGATCCTGGCTATGACCAATGTGAGATTACCAATTCTTTAATCATGGGGTGGCTCATTCATTCCATGATTCTTGAAATTGGTGAAGGCTACTTATCCATGGATACTGCCTAAGACATTTGGGAAGCGTCGCTGCTACATATTCGGCGCTGATCTATTGAGTGCTCAATACAGGGAGAGCAGACAGTTCTTCAGTATTAAACTTTTTTGACTAATAGTTGGAAACGCTTAGATCATCTCCTGGATTGCAAGCTTGTTTGTACAGTTGACTCGGTTACCAGAAGTTTCTTGCACAGGAGAGGGTCTTCAAGTTTCTGGAATGCCTCAATATGGAGTTTAATCCGGTTCGGAGTCATGTCCTTGGCATGGATGTTCTTCCATTGCTTCAAGAGGCCTTTGTATATGTACAGAATGAGGAGAGTCTTTGTTCTGCTATGTTATCATCGGCTATTGGAGACCGTTCAGCATTACTTTCTGCTCCTTGAGATGGGGATGGTTTGTCATTACCTTTTTCCCATCCTTCAGGGAAGGATACTGTGTTCTTTGATTACTGTTGCAAGCTGCGACATACTCGTAAGACGTGTTGGAAGCTTCATGGGGCTCCATCAGGGAGTTTGGGTGATCGGTCTGGTACTAGAGGCGGTCGATCAGGCCAGTCTAGAGGACGTGGTTCTAATCCATGGGCCCATCAGTCTAGTGCCGTTGACACCCTTAATTCTACTTCCGCTTCAATTAGTCCGACTTCTGATAGTTTATCTAGCATTACTTCTCCTGAGCTTGAGGATGTTTGGCGTCATTTGCTGACTCGCCGGTCTTCTACTGCTCCCAGTGCATCTTCCTCGTCGTTTGCACGCTCAGGTAACTTAGCCTCTTCTTCTAGTGTTTTTCTTTCCCATAAGTCTTTGCCATAGATTATTGATTTTGGTGCCTCAGATCATATGTCTGGGTCTTTTGACCTTTTCTCAGCGTATAAGCCCTCTTCAAGTCAAGACAAAGTTAGGATTACAAATTGTATTGTTTACCTTACCTCTGCCTTTAGTGCTCTATGTTCTCAATTTTTCTGTTAATCTTCTATCCTTAAGTCGTATTACTAAAGAGTTGAACTGTAGTGTGACATTTTTTTCCTGATCATTGTCTTTTTCAAAATCTTGTCACGAGAAGGACGATTGGCAGTGGTAGTGCAGAAAATGGTCTCTATTTCTTGGTTTAGCCGAACAAGCATACTCCTCATCAAATTCACTTAGAGACTGTTATTAGAATTCTGAGGTACTGGAAATCTTCTCTTGGAAAGGGCCTATACTTTTCCAAACATGATCACCTCAGAGTGGAAGCTTATACAGATACTGATTGGGCAGGGTCAATAACTGATAGATCTACATCAGGATATTGTACCTTTGTGGGTGGCAATCTTGTTACTTGAAGGAGTAAGAAACAAAATATGGTGGCTAGATCGAGTGCAGAAGCTGAGTTTATAGCTATGGCACAAGATGTGTGTGAACTCTTGTGGATCAGATTATTGTTGAGTGATCTGGGGATGGTCCAGACAGACTCTATGCGGCTATATTGTGATAATAAGGCTGCCATCAACATAACTCACAATTCTGTTCAACGTGACAAGACAAAGCATTTTGAGATTGATCGCCACTTCATCAAGGAGAAACTCACTAGCGGCATGATATGTACTCCTTTTGTGAAGTCAGGCGAACAACTTGCAGACATCCTCACTAAGGGAGTTAGGAGTAAACCATTTCATGACATGCAAGATATCTTCACATCACCTTGAGGGGGAGTGTTAGAATATTTCCTTGTTTCCTTATTTAAATTAGATTGTGATTAATTGATTAATTGATTGATTGGGATTCCTTAATCAGTCAATCAATCAATCAATATAAAAGGTAATTCCTTAATCAGTGTGCTAGGGCTTCCTTTTGTAACAATTAATTGATTAATATAAAAGGGGATGATATCATAATCATCACTCAAGCTTAGTATTCTCTTAAATTACACTTTCACCTATTGAACTTGTCATATGGTTGAACTCACAACAATTCCAATTATTGTATAGCTGCTTCTCCAGCCTTATCTGGTTGCATGCTGAATGCGTATGATTTCAAACTTCCATCCAAATCTTTTTGGCTCAACAACCCCTATGTATATCAAGCCTTCAAACTCTCTCTTAGAAATCAAGATTCAAAGCTTCTATTGTCTACTTATTTTACAATGCTACTTTTCAATTCTTTGTGAGTCTTGGCATTCCTACTTACCACTCCTACATATCTGTTGCTGGTGGCCTCTCTTTATTCTTATCTTTCCAACTTCTTCATCAAACATCACAAAAAGCATAATGATCTCCGCACAATTGCAATAGCACAATTGCAATAGCGATGTGGAGATCTGGGTGTTGGCTGAAGGCTGCAGTACTAAAAAGTTAAATCAAATGGTGGTCATCATTTTTTAGCCTATGAAGGTTGAATCCAGTGTTCAAATCAATTTTGGTGATTTCAACCAATGGTTTGCTTAATTTTAGTTTCTAATTTGTTCTTGGAGGATAGAGATATAGCTCATGACATTGTCACTAGAGATGGCATTGTCATCAGTGGGAAGATAGAGATGAGAGAGTAGATAATTGAGGGAGATGAGAGAAAAAACCTAAGCTGACTCTAGTTGTACTGGGTTTTGAGGTTTGACCCTCCTCTCCGTTCTCTTTTCATTTTTCTTATGGAAATGACCACAAAGCCTCATTGCCCAATGCCTATTGTCATGGGATAATGGCAGGGGTGGTAAGTGGCCATTTATCAAACAAAGGATGGTGATAAGAGTTTTTTGCAAAACCTCAGGGGAGGTAAGTGAAATCTTCCCAAATGATCATGAAAAATATGCGTATATCGTTTGGATCATATAACTTTATTAAATGATGCTCAGAAAAAGTTTCTCACAATTTGAAACTGTGCTTCCATATCCTGCTTTGTCTGGTCTCCAAATGCTATAAGCCTATAACTATGCTGGTAGAGATCTGCTATTTGATTTTACAAGTCAAATATCTGATCATTCATATTTCTCTAACTACTATCTGAAATTTTAACTTAAATTTTCTCTTCCTATTTCCTTTCCAATATGGTGAAATTGTTGAGCAGATTGACCTGTCATATTATGATCTTTTTGGGAGTCTTAAGCTAGTCTTACTAAATGGTGATAGGCTTCCAGCCAAACAAGAGGTAGCAACTTACTGTATAACTTGCTTGACTCTTACTGTTAACCATTGGAGATGATGAAATGTGCAACCTCTTCTTGGAACAGGCACTAAAGGAGGCATTGGTTGAAATCTTCGGTTGCAGAAAGGTGTAATCATGGTTGAATGTTCATTAATCTCTCCATATTCCAAGCCACTTGAAAATGAGGAAATATATAATCTAGCATTTTCTCTCCATTTTGCAGGGTGACCCAACCTATCCTCGGGTTCAAACTATTACTGTGGGACAGGTACAATAATCATAACTTAATGCATACTTACACATGCATACATTTCATACTTTACACACACTCATGCTTCTGGTTGCTCAAATTCAATCAAATGACTATGTTTACAGGACTGCTCATGCTGTACACTTATTGCTGAAAAGTTTGCAATGACTTCACCCGAGATATTGGCCGGACAAGGATTCAGTCGACTTCTGGTACCTAATGCTTGTAAATTGCTAGTGCCCAATTTTTTTTTTTTGCTTTTGCTTAATTTTGTATTAAACTAATCTTTAACATTGTTATGTTTTGTCATACTCAAGACCTAATTGAGTTGAGTTAGCTTGCAATTTAACTGAAATTATGGCTCTTGATGACAGCATAATGCAAATAAGGATTCATGTAGCCAACCCCCAAGTAGTTGAGACAAGGCTTTTTTTAGTTAAGACCTAGTTGGTTAGATAAATTGCACTGAAGTAATCCAGTGCATGATGTTGAAGCCAAATATCAATTCTTGCCCTTCTGTCTTTGTAAAACATATAACAAGGCAAAGAATAGAACTTCCAAAAAAGATTTTGCCTGGAAATTTTGTATATTCTATCAATGGTTCAGACTTCAGAGTAGGGGAATTATGAACTTCAACCTATGTGGACTTGGAACTTTTAGTAGTTAAATAATCCTTAATTGGAGATTCTCTGTGATGGAGGCCATAAAAAGCTAAAGGAAAAATAAATCTAACAAAACAACAACATTTGAAATTGGTTGGTTTTAAGTTAGGATCCACTTGGAACTTTTCATAGTTTATTTTTAGCCTTTGTATAATATTGCAGTCTATAAGAAAAGTAGATTTGCAAAGCAACAAACTTTGGAAAGTGGTTCAATTTCAAGGGATAGTCTTTAAACATTAAATAGTTGAGTTTTAGTTGTAGTAGTTTTGTTTTATGTTTATTTTTAGGTTTATGTATTTCACTATTTAGTTTAAAATATGTTTTTAAACTTTTATAAGTCAGGTGCCTCGTGTTAAATTCCAGCTCACTGCTTTGACTGTTGTGCACTCCCACATTACTATGACCATTACTAGAAATCTTGTGTGCCTATTGTCTTCTAGAATTATAGCCTTTGTGTTTTTCTCCCTTTTTCCCTGCAAAAATACATGGCATTGTGATTATAATAAAACAATCTATGCTCACTTTGAGCTTAGTTCCTACTCATTGGCCTGTCAAATATATATATTTGAAACTTCTTTTTCTTTATACATCAAATATATTTCAGCAAATTGAGTGTACATTTTGTATCAAATATATTTTAGTAAATTTAAGTGTTGCTTTCTCTATCCATTGACATGCAGTTAGCAGGAATCCTCTTGGATACTGGAAACTTGACTAACCCTCAGTGCACCTCCAAAGATAAGTACATGGCCACATTGCTGATTAATGGAGCTGGTCGATTTGGATGCAATGGTCTTTACCAGATCTGTATGTTTTTGGAAGTTACTAATTTAAATAGTTGAATTTTTTGGGTTTGGTTTCTTCTTCAAAATTATAGGGCCATTTCTGAAGTTATCATTTTTACAGTGAGATACAAAATGTATGATGTATCCAACCTCAAAGTCGGAGATATCTTGCGGAAGGATTTCAAGAAGTGGACGAGAGTAGGTCTGAACATTTTCTTAATCTTTAGTTTTTCTTATAAATTTCAACATGTGTCCGACTCCTATTTTCCCCTTGAATTGAATGCATTGATGCTAATTCCATGACATGATGTAATTGATTCCCCAATACACAAAGGTAATCAAACTGGATGACATTATTCATATTGTTAAATGTCTCTGCGAGTATAACATAACTCCTTAAAATCAGAAGACTATAAATCGGATTACTCAAACCTATAATATCAGGTTGAGGTTGATGTCTGAGTGCACAAGATTCTTAAAAGGCCAAACAGAAAAATTGTCAGTTGATTCATCACTATTAGGTTATCTTGATGCTTTCTTCATTCAATTTCACTTATTAAAGCTCAAGTTGAATTTGGTTAGCCTGTTCATTGCTCACTTGCTATTAGCTTGAACAAGGTCATGATTAAGAAGAAGCATCAGGAATTGTTATCACTCATGTGTCAGATAGGGTGTGGTGGGTTCTTCAGTTCCTATTTTGGATTGACTTTGCTAATGAGTGAGTCATGTACCCATGTCAGATTTGTGGCGTACATTGTCACCCCATAGGTTCTGCATGATAATCCTAAGTTTCCTTTTCCTTATTTTTCGCAATAAAAAGCACCCTGATTCATGGCTTGTATTGTACAATGTAATGTGATTAAATGACAAAGATATTTAGCAACATTGTCGGGTGATTGCTTGTGAGCATTTTTTTCTCTTAATTTTTCTGTTTAGTAGCTCAAGGAAAGGTTTGGACAGGAGGATAATGATTTTCTTAAGTTATTTGACTATGAATAATCTAGAGAAAGCATTGGGTAGTGTCTTAAGGGAGAGATGATGTGGATGGTTTACCTAAAAACATACATCAACTGGACTCATTGATGCAACCAAAGTTCATAGATGATGAAGGGCTAAATAGCATGAGAACAATTGGATATATGCTTGTGGTGGGCTAAGGGAAGGAAAAACATTTAGGTTTAGGATTTCAGAAGTTTAAAAAAAAGAAAAAGGAGTAGGTCTTGTAGATGGAAAGGGGTGAGACTGGGGTTGGTTTTCCGAAGTAGTAGCTGTTTATTCCAGAGATTTAGTTGCTGGAAATTCCGCACCGCAACCATTTAAGGGTTTGGGATTTTAAATTATGGGCCAAATGCTTAGGAGAAAGCTAAAGTAGTTGACTAAGATAAATGAGAATATATAAGAGAGAGAGAGAGAGAGAGAGAGAGAGAGAGAGAGAGAGAGAGAAGAGGCACAACGTTACTAGAAATGGAAGAGAGAATCAAATCATTAGGGTTCTCTCCTTCAACCCTATATATTTGTACTCATATAGTGAAGATTACAAAACTACCGTTATGGCTACTACGAAGAGAATAGTAAAACTCACTAATGCTTTGTTTCTTTCGATGGAAAACATTTCCTAGGGAAAACTTTTTTTGCGAAAAACATTTTCCAGAAAATGTCTTCCGCAGAAAATAGGTGAGAACAAAATGATAATTGAGAGGTAAACAAGAGGTTTGATAATTGAATTGTTTCAAATAAAACACAGGTGAGAACTTGATTAAAAACCATATTATCCACAATGGACAAGATTAACAAAATGATCTCAAATGGATCACTTTGATGCAACCGGCCTACTTCCAGTTCTATGTTCTTGACTAATTGAATTGTTTAATATATGCCCCTTATCCGCTGCTTGCTTTTGTATGCATTCCATTGATGTGAAAATTGTTAAATTAGGTAAACCAGACAGTAATGGTTCAAGATTGATGGTATCACATATCGGGATGAGTTCTATTGGCATTTCTATTGGGCAACTTGTGGCTCATCATGATTCTTCAGTACAAGAAATCACCCATTTCCAGCGTGAGTAAATTTTAATTGTGTTTGTTAGATTTCAAGATGTATAAACCTATCGTGGATGAAAGATGAAAACTACATTATAACTTTTCTAACATCAGCATCTTTATCGTTTTCATTACCACTGTTCAAGCCTTATCCCGACTGATTCAATTCTGCAAAAATCCCCTTCTTTCAACCATTTCTTTCAGTTGACAATTCAGTCATTCCCTTCATTGGTTTGTTAGTCCAGGATCTCCTTGCTATTTTATTGTGTTATGTTTGTTTGGATCATACTCATTTTCCTTCCACATCTATGTCAAGTATTCTCTGTTATCGTATCACTTGTTTGGGCTACCTGTAGCTTACCTGTTCTACACAGGCTACATTTGGATTGTGCTATTTCCTTTTCTAATGCCTTTTCTTTTGGAAATCCAGATTTGGAGAAACTTCGGCTGCTCATGGTTGTTTCTGGTTATTATGATTCTCAGAAGAACTTCAAGGTTTGGAGAGACTCTATTTTCAGTGTGATTAATTGATTTGATTGCTTGATGTTACCTATTGTGCAGCGTTAGTCTTCAGTTTAGCCAACATCTGGGCTATTGAACGGTCTTTACAATGGTAAAACTTTTGAATTGGATGTATCATGTAACTAAAACACTGGCCCATTTTCTATTTGAGGTAGTTCAATATCCTCATCAATTATCACCAGAGGCCCCTGTGATAATTGGAGCATAACGAATTGCAGAAGACCAATGTATATATGAAGATAATATTGTGATTATTGTTGTGATCTTTTCACCTATTCTTCTGAAGATAATAGTAACAATTGTTGTGATCTACTAAACCAAACCAAACCAAACCAAGCCTTAAGTCCCATCAAATGGGGTTGGCTGCATGAATCCTTCTTTTCCACTCGACTCTATCCAAGGTCGTTTCGTTAGTGAAAAATATTAAGGGGAACAACTTAGTATCTAATCGATTCAGAGTACTAGGTTGTATATTATAAAAGATCCGAGCGGCTTTTTTATGTGTTGGCTGTCGGCTACCTAATACACAACTCTGTTCCTTTAGCCGGGCTTGGGACTTGCGGAGTTCTTAAGCAACCCCGGCGGAGTTAATTGTTGTGATCTACCAGTAGAAGAAAAAGAAAAGAGTAGAACAACCACTTGTTCGGTTCACCATCTTGCAGATGTGCAAAAGAAACATTAAAGTCAAGGTAGCATTTATGCTAACAGGAATCTACTCACAGTTCTACTAAGGTTTTCAATGCAATTTGTTCTTCAGTAGTTAATGTATGGTGACCAAATCTTGGCTCCCACCTACTGCTTTACCAGCATACAAAATGCTAAAATCTGTTGATATGGTTTCATATATGTTTGTAGATTTTTCTTCTTTTTTATTGTAAGTTGGTTCAAATTCTGAGCACTTCCATTCTCTTGTGTAATTTAGAGAGAAATATTGGTCTCTGCTGAATCTGTTGAGCTGATGAGAAATCTGCTTAATTTCTTCAATTCAAATTCTTCCCAGTTGCCACTTAAGGTTCAGTATCTACCAGGTCAGTTTTCTGTTTCACTTTATATACTTTTGAATACAGATGTAATAAACAAAATCTATTATTGTGACGTGCTTCCCACATTTATTTTCCTAGAAGTTAATCATACGTTTCTATGCGTCCATGGATATGTTGCCAAGCGGGTACACTTTATCTGTGGTTTTTATTCCTCTATTAAACATAGAAAACCGGTTTTGAAACAAAATTATTCTAATGCAACCAAGTGAATGAAAGTATGGTTCAATCAAGTGAATTATATCCCTATCATGCCACTTTGGATCACATATTCTTGCTGATGTACTTTTGTTCCTGGGGTATGCCTCATATGATTCTGCCACCCCAATGTTACCCGAAAATGCTGACACCCTAGCGATTTACGTTTTTAGAATATATATTCCGAAACATGATACACTTTCTTTACAAAACAATGAATTTAATGGCCCAAAGTGATCCCATAATTTTTTCATTAAAATTTCTTCCTAATAGGGAAAAGGTCAAATATAATGGACTAAAATCGAGATGGAGTGGAGTTTTGAATTGACAAAATGTAAAATAATGGGTCATAATACTCATAGAACCGTGTTGTTAAACTATTAATTTGAATTTTTTTTTTTATAATATATTGGATATCAAATTAAGAAGTCTACCCCTATCGTACCGCATTATAAAGCATGCGGCATATAACATCCTGTTCCTCATACCAAACGATCCAGGTTCTAGCTAACACAGTGCTACCCAATTGATGATTACCTCTTCTTCCTTCTGAAACATAATTTTTTTGGGTTAGGATTTAGTATAAAGGTAACTCTGATGCTATGGATGTGTAATTTAAGATTGGTGGGTGGACTTCTCTGCAATTATTAAAAAGAATGTTAAATGCACATATGGTCAATGCATTTCCACTTGAGACCAAATGCACAATTATATCAATTTTGATGATGGTGGTGCAGGTCTAAGAGATGAGATGAAAGCATTTGAGATCGATAGGGTTACATCAAGGAAGACCATCGAGAGTCTCTTGGAAGAATTTGGTGGGATGTCAAAACGCTGACGACAAGACAATTAATTTTCTTAAATATTTTTTCTTCAGTGTCCAAAGTATATCCTTGCAACTAGCGGAGGAAAGCGAAGATAGGTGCTGACTTTGCTGCATGAAAGTGAGACTGAACTAAAAATGCTTGGGTTTCTTATACTCTTTGTAATGATTTTTTTCTTTTAAAGCATTTGAATTGGGGTTTGTTGTGCAGAACCAGAGTGATTTGATAAGCTTGTGATGACAAGATTTACATATTGGAAAAGTGCATAATCTGTAACTCTTGTTGGCTTAGACATGTATATCAATCAATAACAGGCAATAGTGGAATTTTATTTTTTGCTTACACATGATGCTCATCATATTCCTATGGTCTCAACCTAGAAATAAGTTATAAATCAGAAGCTTCACAAGGTTTCACAGGATGTTTACATTGACCCATTTGCAGTTTCATTGTGCTTTTTTCATTTATTTATTTTATTTTATTTTTAATTTTGTTATTTTTAAACTTGGTATATTCCCAATCCAATGTAGAGAGAGAACACCAAAACGAGGTAATAGATTGATCTTTGCCCATGGTGAAGAACTGAAGGTGCAGTCTTGAGCCTATGAAAGCTCCCATAAAGTAGAATCCGTATAACCACTTTGATCAAATGATATGGATGGGTATGCATTGGCTACTTCACTTTAGATGCCTTAATTTGAAAAACCCATTTCTTCGGCTGCAATAAAAAAATAAAAAATAAATAAAAAGGACCCGACCCAAAATACTGCAGAGTTTGAGGTCAGGTCCAAGCCCAAAAGAGTAGTGAAATAGTATACATATATTCTACGACAGCGCACCTGCATCATCCGAATGTAACCGTCTGATAAGCATAAGTTCTTGTTTCTGTATCTAAAGCGCTTCAGATCAACCATGGCGACACAGGATTTGTTGATCTCTATATCCGTACAATTTTTTTGTCAATCAGGGTGGCTCCAAGATACAGGAAGCGTATCTTATCTTCCAAGATTTCTCTGACAAGTATCAGATGACGAGTTTGATCCTCAATCGAAAGGCTGTTTGCTGCATGCATATGGGAAATTTTGACCAAGCTGAGTCACTATTACTTGAAGCACTAAACAAGGCAAGTTTTAAAGTTCATTTCACTTGGCTTTGTTGAGGTGCTTAATGTAGTTACCTAGATGTCATTTGAGGTGATTAAGAATTTAGGACAGAGTTCTCAAATTGTTGTTGACATTTGCTAATTATGCTTGGTTGCATATGGTCATAGCTTTTATTGTTTATAAAATTGAATTTGGCATATCTATTCTGAATTGACAATTTTCCCCCTTCCCCCAACTTTCTCTCTCCCTAATGTTTAATTATTTGTCATCGATACTATCTGAATCAGACCCCTACAAAAGTTGCATTTAGAATTCCAATTTTGTCACTTATATATATATAGTTATTTGGCTTGCATATCTTTATATCCAATGGTGAGATTTCTGGTAAATGATGCAGGACGCAAAGGATCCTGAAACATTGGCTAATCTGGTTGTATGTAGTCCGCACCTTGGGAAACCATCTTCACGCTTCTTGAAGTAAGTTATCTGTTTAAGAAAGTAGTATGAAATTTTTATTCTCTCTCACATATTTCTGTATGTGCTGGTGTGTCTGCATACAATGTTAAATAATAGGAGCTGCATTATAAATTCTAAACATTTTCCTGAACATGCATTTACACCATTAGGATTGTTGTACTTATTAGTCCTGTCTTTATCATAATTTCGAACAAGGTAGCCTCAGTGTCTTGTGAATCACTAAGCCACCGAATGGAACACGTGAGTCACAACCACAATGGTTGAGGAGATGCTGTGGATTTAGATTTTTCAGGTTGGGTGGAAAATGCTTGACATGATTGATGATGGAGGCAAAAGCCCTACATTTTTAGTGGTGGAAAGAGGTCTTGGGGTTTTTAGATTGGTGGTGCCGGACGGTTTCAAAATTTGTTATCATTTCCTCTAAATGTCCGTCTCCCCATCCTCAATTAGACTAGAATTTGGGGATTATTCCTTATACTGATGATGCATGCCTTTGCCACATCTCAGTACATAGCAGGCATGAAATGAAAATCTTGTGCAACCTTCATGAATCACGTCTCTTGTTTATATAATATGTATCGTATGGTTCCTTTGCTTCATAATCTGCTTATATATGTTTATGAACCTGTCTTGTTTACTGACCAATCTGGTTTATCCAACAATGGATTTATGATATGGTACACTAGGGTAAAACACTGTTGCAATCATTTGCTTATGGTTGTTCTTCGATATGTAGAGGAAATATGTCTAGCCCCTTGGTTTACTACTCTATTTACAAGATATATTATGATAATAAAAACAGGTTTTCCTCTATTTTAAAGTAAAAGTGGTTGATTCGGCTGCAGGTAGTTGTAGACTATCTTTTTGCCTCTTATTTTAGGGGGAGGACCATATATGTACACAACTTCATTGCATCCGATGAATCTGGGACACTGATTGCTTCTGTAATTGGAATTTAAGTTTGTTATTCGGTAATTGATTTCTATTGTCTTACATGGTATGCGTCTCCAATAGTTTGGGTAAGTCATAAGTTCCATCATACCACTATTTTCTTCAAATTGTTGCAGAGTTGGTTATGAAAGGTTTTTGTTTTTGTTTTTGTTTTTTGTGAATGATTGTAATATGCAACTTTGTTTTGCAGTCAAATGAAATTGTCACATCCAGATCACATGCTTGTCAAACGTGCATCTTCTGCAGAAGAGAGTTTTGATAGAGCTGTCCAAACAATTGCTTGAAGAATTTGGGAGTATTTTTTATCAAATCCGTCCTTTTCATATTAAGCATTGATGGCTTTATCTTGGTTCTGTAACCTACAAGATCAATATCTGAATCAAATTAGAAAAGAATCTTTGGTGAAAATATTTCTGGGTCTGAATTTACGTAGTAGGGCTTTGTCTCTTTTTTATCCTGAGCTGCCTAATTGTCAGATAGAGCACTGCTTCTTGGACCAATTTCTAAAAATTTCATCTGAACTACGCTTGCACCTGTTTTTGGAGGAGTTGTATCTGTTCTGAATGCTTATAATTGAACTATCTATTGATATGGAAATGGAGAATAAAACATATGTTATGGAGTGTCTAGCCTGATAGTACTGTACATAAAGCCATGTGTTATGTGGATCTAACTATAACCCTAGCTATTTATCTGGAGTCCGATGATGTCTTTTAAGGGTACTATACGAATTAAAATATGATCTAAAGATTCTAGCAGGGCAATACAGCTAGAGACGAATTTTCTAGTGAAACTGAGTCAGTGTAGTGATAAAAAAAGGTGGAGAGGAAGCAAAAACCAAGAAACAGAGGAGGAAAATTATGAGAAAAAGAAAATGCTAGGTAAGAAAATCATTGGAGAAGCTCAATGGTGTGTTATATGCTTTACTATTGCTATATTTTGTCTTAAATCTTCTAAATTTTCATTGTAATAGTAAGGCATATGGCTTGCTATATAGAATCTATAGGTAAAGATTGTGCCAAATATATCTAGAATGCGTGTCTACATCTTTTCTCTAAGGACACAATTGTATTTTGATTTGTCATTTTGTGAGAAGAGTAACATTGTTAAAATAAAATATTTTAATACTATTCATTGTTAAATTGTAACAATAACTAAATTTTTATCTATCCAATCACTAGAGATGCTCTAAATTGTCATTGCCATCCAACTACATGTAACACAAAGTAAGGAGTAACTATTAAATCATGCAAAATTAAAATTAAAAAAAAAAAAAACAATGCATTAGTATTAACAATAATTTTATATTTTGTACACTCAATACAATATGAGTTTCACTATTAATATATAGCACTAATACAGCATTGACACATTATATAATAAGAGAAGGCATAAAAATAGATGGTGATGGCCTTCGTATCAAATACCAATTGAGTAATTTGATGACAAAAAGCACAAAATCTCCTCTTGAATGGTTGGAAAACCATTTCACGAGAATACAAAAATTTGAAATTGAAACCAAAAGAAAAAAACAAAATCTACAGCAATTAGAGACTGAATATCAGAAGAGATGATTGATCAAAAAATAAAAATAAAGAAATAAAGAAAGATTCTCAATGACACATAACAATTTCCATTCTTTAATATGTGAACCCAACAAAGGAAATCAAGAACAGCAGCAGAAAAATAAAGCGAATTTCCAATAACAAGAACAGCAGATATGCTATGCTATGAGGCTAGTCATCTCTGCCCTTGATATCCACACAAGAGTAACCCCAACCCAACCACCATTCTTCTTCAATCATCATCTGTGATTGTGAACCAACTCAAGAGAGGGTTTCCGTGAATCTTGAACTAAAAAAAAAGCAATACAAACAGAACAACCAAGAAAATGATCTGAAACCCAAACTCGCAAGAAGCTGCTGCATCCGACCTCCTCCTGCCGCCGCCACAGATAACTACTTCTTCTTCTCCCGCTTGTGGCGCAGGTGGGGGAAAGCTGCCAATGCCAATGGCAGAACCGTAAATAGAGTAGTCGAGGATGGTTTTGATGCCGTGGACAGCGATGTCGGAGTTAAGGTAGAGGTCAGGGTGGGTAATGGGAGCCCCATCTATGGTGAAGTTGGAGCGGGAGTTGTTGGTGATGAGAATGGAGTTGGAAGGCAATAGAGTTGGGAGGCGAGTGTTAGTGCTGAAGAGTTGGAGATCTGAGAAAGAGAGGCGTTGTTGGGGGACTATGTGGTAGGGGATCATGAATGGGTCGAATTCCAAGGTGGCGGTTGGAAGGTGGGAGAGTGCATCGTCACCTGGGATGAAGAGGGTTCCGTCTACAGGAAAAGGAAGTACTGATAGTCCAGCTGCTGTGGCCACCGAGAGGAGCCCCGCCCACCCACGAAAGTCGCCGCCTGCACCAATTAGGGCGTTCATTATCTTCTTGAGTAGTTGTTCTTCGAGAGCCGCCGTTGGTGGTGGTGGTGGTGGAGAAGAGGAAAGTGGTGGGAGGATAGCGGGTGGATAGGATAGTGCGGTTGTTGAGATGGGCCGGAGGAGGGTGGAGATGGCCAGTGCCAGTGCCAGTGCCACTGCTGCCAGAAAGTGGTGGAGAGAAAACCATTTTGCCATGAGAGAGAGAGAGAGGGGGGGGGTTGTTCTTTTTGTTTTGTTTTCTGGCAGTCTGTCTGTTCTGAATATTGAAGTAAAGATGCAGAGAATGGTTTGGATATTGTTGAAAGTATGCGTTAATTACTGTTTGTGTGTGCATATATATATATATATAGAGAGAGAGAGAGAGAGAGTAGTTTTGTTTCTTGATTTTCTTTGCATGTTCTCTGTTTGGCTGTGTACGGTGGCAAGAATTCTTGGAAGGAAACAAAATCGAGGGGGTTCTAAATAACTGACAATAACAGATTTTTCCCGCCAGACCGTTTGGAGATGGAATGTACTGTTAATGAGATGTCATGTGCTGACAAAAGGATATTTGATCACAGCCGTTGATGGGTGGTGACACGGTCTCAGGTTCTCAAACCCTGTTTGGGAGACTAGCTAATATTTTGGGATCTTTTTGTCTCTTATTTTAGGGGGAGCTACCATATATATATACACGTCGTCTTTTTCATCTGATGAAACTGGGACTCTGATTGCTTCTTTAATTGGTATTTTAAGGCCAAGTTTAGGAAGACTAAATAAGTGTACTTTTTGACTTTTTATGAAATATGGGTTGAATTTGAGTTGGGTTTGAAGTGATGTGTTAGAGAGGTGATGCGACTTAAATAAGATGATGTGACTTAAATAGGATAGTGACTTTTTGACTTTTTAAATTTTTTGGAAGATGCCAAACTTGGCCTAAGTTTGCTATGCAGTAATTAATTACTATTGTCTTACATGGTATGGATTTCCAATAGTTTGGGCAAAGTCATAAGCTCCATTTATACACCTATTTACTTCAAGTTGTTGCAGAGGTTTTTTTTTTTTCACCCTTTTTGCAAATGATATATCGTATTATACAAGGTGTAGACAGTTTCTTGACACTCAGCCGAGGCCATGAAAGGCAGACAAATTCATGCTTGTCAAAAGAATGAATGCATAACAAATTATTTAATAACTGTTTCAATACAATCTGTTGAGAATTTGGGCATCATACATTTCAAACACTGTCATATGGGTGGTCCTTAAAAATTCTAAACAAGATGTGATTAGATTCTGACATATTAGCTGCTGGGAGGAGTCGCCACTTCTCGACATGAGTCTGTTACCCTCGCATACCAACTTCACAAGACTATCCTTTTGGAAGCGATGGGTATTTTCTTTGAAACAATTCAACCATGCTTTGCGAGAGAATACCTGTGAGTCACTAAAATGATGGCTTGAAATACAGGAGAGAGCAGCAGCATGGTCACTTTGCTCCAATTTCATGCAAAACATTTCTTTCATCAGAAGTGGTGGCGGAGTCTGATCTGCCCTGGCTAAGTGCTTCCATGTCGTTTCCAGCAGCTCTACCTGCGTATATATTATCCATGTCATTCAACCCAATTTTCATTATGATAAGGAACAACCTATATATAAAATAAAATAAAATAAATAATTGTCATATAATTGTGCCAAGCACATAATTTTCTCCCATCTGCTGATGAATAAATGAAAAAGTGATGCTAAGTTTACAAGCATAAACAAATCTAAATTGATTTGAAATTCAGAATTTGAATTTTGGCAAATCTGTGGGTCAGATCAGGCAAATCTAAATGGATTTGAATTTCAGATGTTTGTGAATAGTAACTCGAGTATGTTAGGTGAAGAAGGAGAGAAAGAAACAATTGCTTCATCACCGCAAGGGTCAATAGGCAAACACAAACACAATCCCAATCCCAAATTCTCTTAAACTTGGCTCCCTAACATAGACTTACATTGATATTCATATATCATATGATGTTTTCCTAATGCTATTTGGACAATAAATCACCATTTAGGAAACCATGAAATTTTGACCAACAAGAATACTCTAGACCTAATCAAGACTTCATATAGAACCCAATAACATCATTTCATCTACAAGGTGGCACCAGTGGCCTCTACAGCCCATATCTAGCAATTTGTAGAGTTGCCAAACTATCCCTGACTATCTACTGCATCCTAAATAAAAGATAGAAAAATAGAAAAATAGAAAAAATAGAAAAACTGTACAGCAGCATTCCACCCTGTAAAAAAAAGAAAAATTACAAGACAAACTGGCCCGAAACATAATTATATGAAGCAATAGGTCCACTCCACGTTAAATAAAAATTTACCCTTTTCTTCTTTCTATAATTGTCATCAAATATTTAAACTTTCATGGATATACATATATTTTTGTTTATTTAAATTCTCATTTTTTTTTTTTTGTGGCACTATGGAAGTAGCTAATCTGTCACGTCTATTGTGGTAAATAGACAAAAAGGAGAGACAGAGAGAGAGAGAGAATTCAGAAAATCTATTTTATCTCCCGGCATTTAGGGGAAAAAAACTAAGAAGAAAAAGAAGAATATGTAAGCAAACAAACAATTAAGTAGGATGAGAAGAATACCTTTCCTGCTCTGCATGCATCCATTACCATCCTAAGATGTCGTTTAGCATTGAAGTGGTAACCGTAGTGCAGCATCTGTTTGTAGACAAACTCAAAGTCATCCCACCGCTGCTCCATAACACAGGCATCTAACATTGTATTAAATGTGTAGATATCTGGTATAACCCTCTCCTTGTAATCTACTTTGTTGCTAACACGATTGCCATGTTCTAGCATTTCCTGGAATAACCCTTTAGCTTCTTCAAACATCCCATGTTCTAGGTATGATTTCAACATTATATTACACGTCACCAAATTTGGGGAGCAAAACTTGTGCATATGATTGAAAATATAAGAACCATTTTGAATGTTTCCAGCTTCCAGGCAAGCTTGAACTAAACCAGTGTAAGTCACCACTAGAGGTTTGTTAGCAACTTTACAAATCTTGTCAATCTGTGGGTGCAGATAAAAAAGGAGGGAAGGGCTGTCAGCTTGTCACTATTTAACTATGAGATGAGCAAATATGAAATATCCACATTAGCTAAGTTGAAACACAAACTTCATGTTGACTACAATAATTCAGGAGGTGCCAACTAACCTAGGAAATAAAATCTCATGCCAGTGTGGCCATTAAAAAAGAAAAGAAAGTCTCTAACATTCATAACTCATCGTCTGGGCCATTTATAAAACCTACAGGTATAATCAAAGTAACATAAGCATACATTATCCTTTATGTCAAATGATTTAGGGAAACAGGTTGCATATCTGACACATCAATTTATATAGTGACCTTCCTTTTATTAACTCACTCCAAATATAACCAATTTTGAGGGTTCATGACAACCATTTATCTAGACCTTTATTCACAGCAAAATGTTGCATTGTTGTTAGTGTAAACATTAATTTGGTAACAATGGGGCTTATAGTCAACCATAGCAATGCTAAACTTCAGCTTCATCTAATCAGGAATCTCTCAAAGGAAAGGTGATGAGGAGTTGGGATCGTAGAACAAAATAAATAATAATGTGTGGGAACTGGGTTTGATTTTTCAAGAGGGTAGAAAGCTGGATTTGCATAAAATGTGGCAGTATTCCCTCTGCACATTAGTGATGTCAATCTTTACCAGGTACAATCTAAGGCCAAAAGGTAGATAGGTAGGAGTTGGGATCAATTAAAGCTTGCTTGGGTGGTTCTTCAGGGCTGAAAGGAGGCAATTCTTAGGTTATAAATAATAACCTGTCAACGAATATTTTACTATTTTGGCAGAAGAGGACAAGAAGAAGGATTCACCTCCCAAGGTCTAAGCAAAACTACCCAGCATCACTCTAATCATTTTCCACTCTCTAGTTCAATTTCCAACACTACAATCTCCTTGCTTTTTGATTGAGTATGCAGTCCAGTAAGCTATTATAGGTGGTCTGGGATATAAACGAAATTTGAAAGTTCTATGTGGATGAGGCTAAACTTAACGAGATAGATATTAAGGACTAAGTGAATGTTAACTATTGCATCTTTTGATTCCATGACATGGATGATTATTAGTAGAACCATAACAGAGGAAGACTGAAGCAACACAAAAGAGGTGGGCATATGAAAACCTACTTGAGTAAGTCCCTCTTGGCACCTTCCAGCACTGCAGAGACAACGAGCTAGGTCATAATAAAGAGCAGCAGAACCAACAATTCCTCGTCTTTCCATGTCTTCAACAGCCAATACAGCCTCATCAGTTTTTCCCTCCCTCCAGAGTGCATTCACAAGAACTAATAACGGATAGTACCACAAGTCATATACATGAAAATTTTCTTCAATAAAAAAGAGTAAACAAAGAACTTCACTAAATAACCTTTATAAGTCAAGGCATTTGGAATAGAAGATTTCAGCACCTTCTTGAAAAAATCATGTACCAAGTTGTACTTGCCACATGCTAACATTACCTGCACAGAAATAAACAACTTCAGCAAAAAATTATTACCCCTTGAGCCAATATTACAAATGAGAGCGTACATTCACACTTGGCCTGTATGAGAGCCCATTAATATGTTATATGATCCCAAACCACAGTGCCATAATGAAGCACAGATATGACATGGGACATAGTGAAGACATGATACAGACATGCTAACACGACCAGTTTTGAAAAACCAAGACGCAGACACGACGAGGATACAATGACTAACAAATAGATAAACATGCAATAACTTTTGTAAGTTTAGAGAAGAGAAAGAGATAGGGAATGAGTGAGACCTCATTCCCTTTTATATTGATAATAATGAGTAATTATAGGAGTGCCATCAGGCATAAATTATGGGCCAGCCCATTACATCAATCAAGGAAAATAAAATAAAATAAAATATATGTAATATTATTTCCTATTCTAACACTCCCCTCAAGCTAGTGCGAAGATATCTCTCATGCCCAGCTCGGTGAGAATGCCATAAAATGGTTTATTCCCTATTCCCTTGGTAAGAACATCCACCAGTTGATCATCAGTCTTCACAAATGGAGTGCATATGATGCCACTAGTGAGCTTTTCCTTGATGAAGTGCCTATCAATCTCCATGTGCTTAGTTCTGTCATGCTGAACCAGATTATGATCTATGTTGATAGCCGTCTTGTTGTCACAGTACAACCTCATAGAATCAGTTTGATGAATCCCCAAGTCTCTCAATAATAGTCTAATCCACAACATTTCGCATATACCCTGAGCCATAGCCTTGAATTCTGCCTCTGCACTGGATCTAGCAACCACATTTTGTTTCTTACTACACCAAGTGACCAGGTTGCGTCCAACAAATATGCAATACCCAGAAGTCGATCGTCTATCAATGACTGATCCAGACTAATCTGCATCAATAAAAGCCTCCACACTAAGATGACCATGTTTTGAGAAATAGAAGCCCTTTTCTGGAGAAGATTTCAGGTATCTCAGAATTCTCATAACTGCCTCTAAGTGGGTAACTCTAGGTATAGCGATCCCGGTTTTCCCTTCATTGTTTAATTGTATTTCAAACTCGGTTCCGTGGATGTATTGTTGTCTTTTTCCTGTTTCCATCCTTTACTCTTTGTATGTGAGTCTTGGGTCGTGTTGGGCAGGTTTAAAATAGGTTGGTTGCGTTTGGAAACCAAGGGTTAGTGTCCATTAAATTTTCATAATGGTTCATTTAATATCCTTATTAGTGGTTCATTTAATATCCTTATTAGTGGTTCAGTTACTATCCTTATTAGTGGTCCATTAGAGCGACCAATCCTTAATATCTTATATTTATTTATGGGGTTTCATTACTTTGGTAACCTCTTGGTCATAAATGGAGGTTAAATAGAATTCATAAACTTGGTTAATGGTCATTATTTTGGTGTAACCATTTTCTTGTTTAATGGTCATTATTTTTGGTGTAACTGTAAGGTCTTAATGGCCTGTTATATATCAGTAGGCAGCAGCAGGTTAAACATGATTTTTTTTCATCATCTTTTCTTTTGAAACCCTAGAGCCAACTCTCTCTCTCTCTAAACTTGTCTTCTCTCTAAGAATTGATCTACCTAGGGTGAGTATCTAACCTTAGTCCTTTATTAAAAAGATAGAGTGGGTTGAGGGCTTCGTTTTAATCTGAGAAACTTGGGATTTGGAGCACGTTGGTCTTTGGTCATCATCTCCATTTGAGTTCTTCACTTCGAGGTAGGGATTCCTACTCATCTTTATGAGCTTTAACCTAGATGTTGGGCTTTTGTTTAAATGGTTTGATTTGGGAAGTTAGGGTTTTGAAATGTGCTATTTTGAAAAGAGGGGTTTTGTTTATTTGACTCATCCATACATGTTTTGGGTCTAAAATAGAGATTGTTGACGTTGTTAGTAATATTCGAGCCTTAGGGTTGATGTTGAGAATATGGGGAAAAGCACTAATTGTTATGATAAATTAATTTGTATAATTAATTTAGGGAAAATTGGAGAATTTAGTTGAGTTCATGAAATTGAGGAATTTATTAATTAAATGGTGTAGTTGATTTGTTTAATCACTCACCTATGAAAATGTTGGAATTATATTAGTTGATTCATTTATTTCCTGTTTAGAAATAACTGTTTTGGGCTATCGGTAGAGGATAGTCGTGATTGTTGTAAACATTGCATGTGGATTAGGGATAACTGAAACTAATCACATTGGTTGAGTCATTAATTTTGACTGTTGAATTAATACAGACATTATGTGTATTGATTGTGTGGTGTATATGTTATGTGTTTACATACTTTGTTTTGTGTGGGAGGAGATAGGGGATGTACTCCACGGTTTAGGGGAAGATAGGGGATGGACCTCTAAACCGGATTTTGTTTGGGAGGAGATAGGGGATGGACTCCATTAGCACCACTATATGTGTGCTTATTGATATTAGAAGTATTTTTGTTTGATATTGATACAGCACTAAAATGTGTATCAAACGGGAAGTATGAAGTGTTTTGATATGAGCCTGAGTCTCATTTGTTTTGTTGATATTGGAAGTAATGTGAATATGCTATTCGTTAAGGTATATTGGTTTTTTGAAGTAATGTGTTGACAGAGCTCATATGCTTGTCTAGAGAAGTGAAGATAGAGCTCATATGCTTATCTAGTAATGTGTTGACAGAGCTCATATGCTTGTCTAGAGAAGTGAAGATAGAGCTCATATGCTTATCTAGTAATGTGTTGACAGAGCTCATATGCTTGTCTAGAGAAGTGAAGATAGAGCTCATATGCTTATCTAGTAATGTGTTGACAGAGCTCATATGCTTGTCTAGAGAAGTGAAGATAGAGCTCATATGCTTATCTAGTAATGTGTTGACAGAGCTCATATGCTTGTCTAGAGAAGTGAAGATAGAGCTCATATGCTTATCTAGTAATGTGTTGACAGAGCTCATATGCTTGTCTAGAGAAGTGAAGATAGAGCTCATATGCTTATCTAGTAATGTGTTGACAGAGCTCATATGCTTGTCTAGAGAAGTGAAGATAGAGCTCATATGCTTATCTAGTAATGTGTTGACAGAGCTCATATGCTTGTCTAGAGAAGTGAAGATAGAGCTCATATGCTTATCTAGTAATGTGTTGACAGAGCTCATATGCTTGTCTAGAGAAGTGAAGATAGAGCTCATATGCTTATCTAGTAATGTGTTGACAGAGCTCATATGCTTGTCTAGAGAAGTGAAGATAGAGCTCATATGCTTATCTAGTAATGTGTTGACAGAGCTCATATGCTTGTCTAGAGAAGTGAAGATAGAGCTCATATGCTTATCTAGTAATGTGTTGACAGAGCTCATATGCTTGTCTAGAGAAGTGAAGATAGAGCTCATATGCTTATCTAGTAATGTGTTGACAGAGCTCATATGCTTGTCTAGAGAAGTGAAGATAGAGCTCATATGCTTATCTAGTAATGTGTTGACAGAGCTCATATGCTTGTCTAGAGAAGTGAAGATAGAGCTCATATGCTTATCTAGTAATGTGTTGACAGAGCTCATATGCTTGTCTAGAGAAGTGAAGATAGAGCTCATATGCTTATCTAGTAATGTGTTGACAGAGCTCATATGCTTGTCTAGAGAAGTGAAGATAGAGCTCATATGCTTATCTAGTAATGTGTTGACAGAGCTCATATGCTTGTCTAGAGAAGTGAAGATAGAGCTCATATGCTTATCTAGTAATGTGTTGACAGAGCTCATATGCTTGTCTAGAGAAGTGAAGATAGAGCTCATATGCTTATCTAGTAATGTGTTGACAGAGCTCATATGCTTGTCTAGAGAAGTGAAGATAGAGCTCATATGCTTATCTAGTAATGTGTTGACAGAGCTCATATGCTTGTCTAGAGAAGTGAAGATAGAGCTCATATGCTTATCTAGTAATGTGTTGACAGAGCTCATATGCTTGTCTAGAGAAGTGAAGATAGAGCTCATATGCTTATCTAGTAATGTGTTGACAGAGCTCATATGCTTGTCTAGAGAAGTGAAGATAGAGCTCATATGCTTATCTAGTAATGTGTTGACAGAGCTCATATGCTTGTCTAGAGAAGTGAAGATAGAGCTCATATGCTTATCTAGTAATGTGTTGACAGAGCTCATATGCTTGTCTAGAGAAGTGAAGATAGAGCTCATATGCTTATCTAGTAATGTGTTGACAGAGCTCATATGCTTGTCTAGAGAAGTGAAGATAGAGCTCATATGCTTATCTAGTAATGTGTTGACAGAGCTCATATGCTTGTCTAGAGAAGTGAAGATAGAGCTCATATGCTTATCTAGTAATGTGTTGACAGAGCTCATATGCTTGTCTAGAGAAGTGAAGATAGAGCTCATATGCTTATCTAGTAATGTGTTGACAGAGCTCATATGCTTGTCTAGAGAAGTGAAGATAGAGCTCATATTTTTGAGATCCTTGAGAGGATTGGTGAGGTTGCTTATCGATTGGCCTTACCGCCGCAGTTGTCCGGAGTGCATGACGTGTTTCATGTGAGTATGCTTCGGAAGTATGAGCCAGATCCATCACATGTGTTGGATTGGACTGATTTAGAGGTAGATGAGGATGCCTCGTATGAGGAGAGACCGGTACGGGTTCTATTCGTCTTCTGAGGAGGAGCACGAGGCACACTTGAGAGTGGTGCTTGAGTTACTTAGAGCCCATAGGCTGTATGCCAAGTTTGGGAAGTGTGAGTTCTGGCTGAGGGAAGTCAAGTTCTTAGGCCATGTGGTATCCGGGGAAGGGGTGTCTGTTGATACATCCAAGGTTGAGGCAGTGCAAGATTGGGCACAGCCTAAGAGTGTGTTTGAGATCCGCAGTTTTCTGGGATTAGCTGGGTATTACCGTCGGTTTGTGAAAGATTTCTCCAGGCTAGCTTCGCCGTTGACTAGATTGACGCGGAAAGGGGTCAAGTTTGTATAGAGTGAGACTTGTGAAAATTCGTTCCAAGAGTTGAAGGTTAGATTGACCACCGCTCCGATTTTGATTATTCCAGAGAGAGGGTCGGGTTACGCGGTTTATTGTGATGCCTCACGAGAGGGTTTGGGTTGTGTGTTGATGCAAGAGGGGAAAGTGGTAGCTTATGGCTCACGTCAGTTGAAAATACACGAGAAGAACTACCCTACACACGACCTAGAGTTAGCAACAGTGATCTTTGCCTTGAAGATTTGGAGGCACTACCTTTATGGTGAGAGGTTCGAGGTGTTCTCGGACCACAAGAGTTTGAAGTATCTGTTTACACAGAGATACTTGAATTTGAGGTAGAGGAGATGGATGGAGTTCATTGAGGACTATGGTTTTAAGTTGCACTATCACCCGGGAAAGGCCAATGTTGTGGCCGATGCCCTTAGTAGGAAATCCATTAGTGATGTAGCTTGTATAGTCATCCGGGAATGGAAGATGTTGGGTGCGCTCGGCGAGTTTGATTTGCTTCTAGGCGAATCTGTTGAGGCTGCGGCCTTGTTTTCTGTTGTTGCGCAGCCTACACTTGTGACTCGAGTGTTAGAGGCACAGAGAGGTGACTTTGAGGTGGAGTCCTTCCGAGAGAAGATCTCCATTGGGAAAGTTGAGAAGGATTTGACGGCGTATCCCGACCAAAGTGTGAGATACCGAGACCGTTTATTTGTGTTGGAGTCTTGCCGAGAGGAAGTACTCCGAGAGTTCCATCATTCACGCCTTGCGGTGCATCCGGGAGGCACTAAGATGTATCGGGATTTGGGTCGCCAGTTTTGGTGGCGGGGTATGAAGAGAGATGTGGCTGTTTTCGTGTCTAAGTGCCTTACTTGCCAGCAAGTGAAGGCCGAGCATCAGAGGCCAGCGGGTTTGTTGCAACCCTTGCCTATTGCCGAGTGGAAGTGGGAGCATGTCACTATGGACTTCGTTGTAGGTCTTCCGAGAACTTAGCGGGGTAGTGATGCCATTTGGGTGGTTGTAGACCGGTTGACTAAGTCGGCGCATTTCATTCCTATGCGCGTGACAGATTCGGTAGATCATCTTGCCGACTTGTATATTCGGGACATAGTGAGATTGCACGGGG